GTCCCTATTACGATGAAGATAAGTGTATGTCATGTTTGCCTTTAAGTGCTTGTCACATTAAAAATTGTATTTTGTGTTTGTTTTTACCAATTTGTCAGTGTGCCGAGCGTTGGCAAGCTTTTTCTTAATAAAAAAAAGAAAAAGAAAGATAAACCCTATTATTATAATGCACGAGAACGTGTATATACATATAGTAATATTTAATTGACACAAATTATTGTATTACATTGATTATTTCTATTCATAGATAATAATTATGTTAGTACTTACTCTCCCTGACCAAGATTTTTGAGTTCGAAACGTCATACTAATCAATAAATATTCGTTTTCTCGTTAGAATCTCTAAATCTTTATTTAAACATAAATATATCTATATACCTAGAACCCTGCTGCGTAGCATGTAGATCAACAGTCAGCTGAGTGAGGTAGGAATGCGCACTGAACTGTTCACTACACCCACTCTGACTGCTACTCAGCGAGTATGAAGACAGCTTCATATGCTTCAACACTGTTAGGAATCCCAAAAGTGACAGGCATCGGTATTGGGAGTCCCTGGAAATATATAATTATGGGATAGAAAAGATAGTTTATGCCAAACGGTATTAAAAACTGGTCAACCGATAACATTGAGCTAATGCATTTAATGTTTAACTGGATTGAAACACAAAAATTATTTTGAACTTATAATGGTAAAACATAAATGTGTGTATAAATAAATTTATTTTCAATTAATTTATTATCAAACATTTCCATACATTTGAACCCGCAAATTGGTTGTTCAAACAGGCTCACGAAGCTCCGCTCAAATTATACTAACTATTCAATTGTAAATGGGGAATAAATATGTTTTCGCATTCTATATATGTTATTATTGATAACCAATATAGGCTTAACATTGTCTTTCAACTTTTTTTTTAATTGTCTTAGAAAACAGTCTGAAAAAAAAACTGATAGTTAATTTGACCTTGATATATTTGATATTACTGGAATTGAATACTATTTGAGTATGATTACGAACATATATATTATATATGTTCATATTTAGCTAAATGTTGTAACTATGTATGATAATATGTTTGACTACAAATTGCAAATTATATTATGTATGTTCCAACTTACGAAACAATCTAAGTTTCATCAAAATCGGCTGAATTGGTTTTTGATCCATACCTCTCTGTAGATATCAAGGTTAATAATAATAAGAGATTTAGTTTATTATTTTAAAATTTAAAAAAACATTATTTACCGAGAGTACAGCCCCTTTCTGCAGACCATAACTAACGTATCCCTCGTTCGCGTACTGAACGTTATCAAGGGATGTACGGCTGCGTACACGGCCGCCGCATGTGTGTAGTCACTCCCGGGTTGGCAGTTCTCGAGTATTGTACTCAATTGTGTACAAGACTCAACGGATACTGGCGTCAATTTGCATAAGACATATAGACAATCTAAAAACAATGTATTATAAATTTAACAATGAATAAATATTTGTTTTCTGTACTTTTTATTATATTAAATATATACATAATATATTTATAAACAATATAAGAGGGAGAGGCTCGCTTGATGATAAGTGGTACCGCCCATGGACACTCATTGCCAGAAGGCTCGCAAGTTCAAACGTTTGTCTCAATTATTGTTTTTATTAGATTATTATATGATTTATTATTAAGATTGAGGTATATGAATAATTTTCAAAACAATGTTTAATCTCATTGAATAATTGCAATGTAGAGGGAGGGTAAAACTTGCTGAGTTTCTTGCCCGTTCTTCTCAGAACAAGGCCTCCTGGTAGTTTTGCGAACGGATGGCGTAGTCTTGATCTTTCGCGAATTTTGTAAACGTTTTTGACATTCATAAGAATGTCCTAAGACGCATCTAAACTGAATAAACGTATTTTGTTATTTTTTATTCATACCTGAATACTGCCTTTGGCTGGAGTCCCCAGAAAGCCTGTCAGCCAACTGGGCCAATATGTGCTGAGCTGTGTTAGGCTGAGACTTGCATAACCTAACCAGTATCAGCTTCCCATGAGACCAACAAGCGTGTGATACCGCCTTAACACGAGATACTGATAGTAGAGTAAACGCTAAGTTGATAAGACCACGTACTGTCAGCTCTCGGTGATTTGCACTGGAAATACATTTAAGCTTTTTAGTTTTTACATACAAAATTTAATAATATTACACAATCTTATCAAAAATGTCAGAGAATGTCTACGGACCGCAATATTAATGAATATCAGATGAGTTTGTACCGTTCTATCAAAATAGATTTTCGTTTTAAAAATTATATCGAGTCAAGTCGTGTCTAAGAATGTACAAAAATACCAAGACACTGAAATTTCACACGTCGGAAATTATACTGACTATTTATTACAAGCATTTTGATGAAACAAAGTGGTTGTCCTGTAAAGTCGGTTTACGGACGATAGTTTGACGTGACAACGTCATAACAAAACATTGATGAAATAATTGCATACTTAAGTCTTCAAGTGGAAGAGAAATAGATGCGGCGCAAGTGTACAAGCGTAACGGGACAATGAGTCATGTTTTACGTGCGTGCAGCCGGCGATCATAAATTTATTAAACATTTTCACGTCAAAAAATGGTTACTTGGTGTTAAGTAGGTGCTTTCGTTTTGGTACAAATTTTAACTTGTAGATAAGGTGATTGACTTACAGGTGACTGACAATAGTTAATAATTATAAGTGTTAAATAGTCACAGGTATTTTGTTACAACTTTACATTTATATATACGTAAAAGAAAACTTGGTCCTTCGAGCCGGACAAGATCTCCCATATGTATTTTAATGTTGTAACATTCTTGTGGACTACTGCCGTAAACCATTTTAACTGTCGAGTTATTATTAAAAAAAATCTTTAATAGATTACCTTTCTGTGGTTAGAACTTTGAGCACATTAGCAACATCTACGTCGGGTGGGAGTACCGATCTAACCCAGGCAGACTCTTTACTTCTCTGATCATCTAAAGTACGCTGTTCTATAGCTGACTTTATAACCTATATACACAGAAATTATATACATTATTTCTTCAAATTCAGCAAAATTTATTTAGTGGTAGCATTAAAAAAAAGACTTTAATATTCTTGATGTAAAATGCTTCTATAAAAGAGAAAAACATATTTTTACACTGAAGCGAGGCGTATTGTAATGTTTATTAAACGCATTTGGTAACATGACCCCAGGTTTGATTCCGGAGCAATAATAACCGTATTATCATAGTAGAAAAAATCTTATAATTTATTAGAAAAATTCTCAAAACAGGCACTAAAATATTATCTAGAAAATTGTAGGGCATGATTAAACTAAGTCAATTTTTTTTTCTATTATTATTATTTTTTCATATAAAGATAAACACTAACAAATATTAGACTATACTCAGTTACTCACCTCCAAACAAACAGATCTGAACTCAGTTCCCTTATCTGACACAGCAAGGGCAAGGTCTAAAAGAAATGGTGCTCGCAGCAACTGGGATTTTGGCCATTGCTTTATGTGTTTCCTTATCAATTCTGGTTCAGCCGCACCCTGTGTTATGTGATACAAGCTAGTTGAGAGACAACGACTGAGTTCCGCATGGCTGTGTCGTACTGAAAAATACAAATTATTTTTTTAAATAATTAGTTACGCATAGCTTAAGAAAATGTATTACAATGTATGGCTTGGTTATGTTACAAAACCAAATCTTAATGGATCAAATTATTTATAATTTTTTTTTTAATGTACCAACACTAGCACAATCTTTTTTTTAAGTGTTGTATCATCATAAGTGAGTACAGCCTTATGTGACCTTAGCCTCAGAAAATATCTTTCGCCATCTCAATATATCTCGCTGCTTTTTGCTATGCTTCTTGCGTCCAATTTTGATTACTAGTTTCGTTCTATGACAAGTCCACCACCAACGCATCAGTCTACCAGGTTTTCTTTTACCACAAGGTTGTGTGGACCTTGGGGCTCTGTTATTCTTCAGTGAAACGAATACGCCAAACACCGTAAGTATTTTTTAATAAACAAAAATAACATTACAATAAGTATGTGCAAAATTTGGGTTTTTATTTAAGTTTTTAATTATTTTAATATACCTATTTGTCTATATTAATTTTAATCCCACCTATCTCTATACTAAGATCCATCAAACTTACAGGGGTATAACCACAATTTTATATTTGATATAACATATAATTGACACCTGGGATAAAATCCCGACGAAACAATAATTGTTTTCGGTAAGAAAGCAGACGCAGATATAGACACAGACGCAGTAATATGTCTGACCAGAATGTACAGAATAGTGATGGGACATACTAACTAACTTAACTAACTTGATATCAAATCAAGTTAGTTTAATAAAAAATGTTTAAAAAACGTTACTATTTAAACTCTTCGTTATTGTTGATTTAAATTTGTTGAAGTAAATTTACTTTAGAAAAACATACCTATATCATCCATATCAACAGTAGTAGATTCTGAATCTTGTGGGGGAGGCTCCAACTTGCTATACAAATGCAGGTTAAAATACTGACTCAGGTGTGCTAAGACCACATCCATGTTAAACACTTTACATAATCTGAAAAAATAAATAATTAATTATTATATCTGAGCAGTGTTGGCCTGAGCGTGCAACTTTCTTCCTTGAGGTCATAGGCTCTAACCCCGGCTGTTCCTATAGACTTCTTCTACGTGAGGAGCCGGTTCCAAAATTACATGGCATGTCAAGCACAGAAGTCTGATCACCTAGTTGCCTATCAGAAAAATAATTATCACGAAACAGATACAGAAATCTGAGGCCAAGGCTGTACCGCCAGTTTTTTTATGTAAAATATCTGTAGACGAAATGTTTGCTATTTTGGGGCAACTGATATATTAAACTTACAAGTGTTACGAACAAAAGTGAACTTTAAGGTATTGGAAATACGGTAAAAAGCGTTTAATTTTGATTGTACAAACGGAACGTAATATCATGACGTATCAAGTCGC